TTGCCATGTTATTTGATAAAAAAATGAGGGGAAGTTCATTTTATCAAAATAAAAAGGATGAAGTTTAGGTTTTAATGTTGTTGCCCTAAGTATTAAAAATGTTCTAGTACCAATCAAATGCAGCTCTGAGTTCACTGTCCTCCTCTTTCTGGAGACAGTGTGCCTATCCTCCCCTAGGGACCACAACAGGGAGGCCCACACAGAAACGTCAAGCAGAATGTGTACCTGGCATGCTCAGGGCACATTTGTCTTTTTCTTTCTCACTTCAAAGTTTTTCTAACATTTAAATTATTTAAAATATAAAACAGAAGCAGCTGGACAGAGGGAAGGAGAGAGAAAGAAAAGAAGAGAGGTTATGTTCAATCCTCACTTTCAAGGAGAGTGACAATCGGCTTTGGCAGCAGGCAGGACATGTCTAACTGTACTCAACTATTCCTATGGAGCATGTTGTCCCAGAGAAAACACACTGAAACGTGCTTCTCCGTAAGCACCCTTCCTCTGTAGAGACATGATACTCTTGAGAATGCCTCTGGCTGCCTGTGCATCTCTCCACTACGATGTCCAATCAAGTCAGCAGAGTAAACAACAGGCTTCACGTTATACTCTGCCCTGGTTTCTGAAATCAGGATGCTTTCTTTCTACTAAGAAAATAATTCTTATCATAATTGCCACGGGATAATTATGATCTATAATTATTGTTGGTGACTGTCAATGATGCATAAAGAAGAATACAGCTTGATTTTCAAAGCCTAACCCTGAAGAAGCAAGACAATTAAAAGCTTGTTTTGACTAAAGTGAACAAACTTGACACAAAAGTCACAAAGAAAAAATCTAGAGGGAAAATATTATCAATTGGCCTCACTCAGCATTTCTTAAACACAAGTTACAAGCTCCAAGGGCAGGAGAAAGATCTTTCAAGAACCAGGCCAGGCCAAAATCATGACTGCAGATGAATTCTGGGAAGGAGTGTGGTCCGTCTCCCAGACCATTCAAGCCCAGAAGGGAAGAATGAGGTCTTGACTCCTATTGTCCTCAGGGAACACAATGCAGTCCCTTCTGCAATCTCGTTTAATACTAACTTATTTCTACGTAACACACAAATGATCCAAAAGAGAACATTAACATCTGCAGAATGAGTAAATAAAATTCCCCACCTCTGGCTCTACAGATTTCTGGCTTAGGTGCTTGAATTCCAAGGCAGGCAGCGAAGAGGCTTCCACTTCCTGAGTGTGCAGGTGCCACTCAGGCATGTGGGCCAGTATGATCTGATGCACTGAGACCTTCATGCTCGTAAGGATAATGGAGTGGTGAGCTTTCAGTACCAAAAAATATAAGTGGCTCACAAAAAAGACATTTAAACAGGTGCAAACAACTTTGATAACATTTCATCTATTTTATTTTAGGCCTTATGGAGACTCAGTTTTGAAAATCTGAAAAAAATGAAGGCCCCCATTTCAAAAAATGAACTGTGGGCAACAGAAAAAAATGTGTCCACATTACCTAACAAGTTATATTTTCAGAAGGAATCCTTTAATTCAGAAATGCATATCTCACAAAAACATCTTCTCAACATAGTATCATTTTAGAAAAAGCAGGAAAGATGACTTTGTTGCCTTATTTGCTAAAAATCATCTTCTGCCCATTTCATCACCATTACTATCTTCTACAGTAGCCTGGTTCACGTCTGAATCGGTTAACAAATCCTGAATGACCCAAACCCAACACTAAGAACACAGAAAGCAGCTCAATATGTCGAATATACAATTTCCTTCTTTTCTTCAAACACTTTTTTTCTCAAACTATAAAGATCTTTAGAATTCCTGGAATTATTTTCTAAGATCACTGAAACAAGAGAGCCAGAATCTATCTCCATTTCATCCTGAGCATAAAGCACTTGTAAATAAGCGGAGGCAGTCTGTGACAAATAAACACAAGATTATTTGAAGGCATAATTTTATTTTCACTACTGGGAGGTAGGGAATCTCAATATAAGCATTCATTTTCTCCTTTCTTGAAATCTGTAAGCAGCATCCTGTTGTATGCACAAAAGGCTGTCTCAGTAAAATACTTTTTGATGTCGTTGGTTTTGCTCCTATTCCTGAATAAATTATGCTCTTACCTGATCCATCTGTCATTTCAAATATCAATTTGCTTAGCAAACCCTTTTTGTTCATTTTATACAGGCGAATCTCAGTCACAGCTCCCTCCTCACCCGGTCCACGCACCTCGCATAAATGCAGACATGAGTTTAGCCAGGTGTGGGGGTGTGCACTTGTAGTTCTAGCTACTCAGGAGGCTTAGGAGTATCATCTGAGTCAGGAGTTCAAGACTGCAAGTGAGCTATGATCGTGCCACCGCACTCTAGCCTGGGTGATGGAGTGAGACTCTGTCTCAAAAAAATAAATATAAATGTAAACATTCATGAAACATGGGGCTGCTTCTGCTTTACTCCCAGTTCACAGAGGTTACAGGTGAATTAATCCCAAGTATAAGATGTACTGTAAATGAAATGAGGTCTATTACATATAGCAAACTATATTTACTATATATATTCTCAATTATTTAACTTGACATATTGGTACTATATTGTTAGCCTGCTATTAATACTCTAAACTCAACAGATTACAGGGGTCCCCATTTAAACTATTTGAAGCTTGTTTAAGGACTAGGTTAGCAATATGCTAGCAACAGCATTTTTGTATCATTCCTGGTGCCAAGTAATACTACAGAACTTCCCATATCTTCAGAGAATTTTTTACTAGAGAATTTCAAATCACTGAAGCAGTACCTCATTGTCTATAATCAGATAAACACAACATGATTGTGAAACTGGATGGCAACAAAACTCAAATGGACTGAACAAAAGATATCTACGCAGAAAAAACAAATTTTAGTCTCAGGATTATTAGTAACTTCTAAGAACCTCCAATTTATCCCTATTAAGAAATATGCAACATGAAAAGTAAAAGGAAATTATTTTAGAAGAATTCCATGTAACACAAGATTTTAACATAGGCAGTCTCCAGTGGTTAAAAAAAGAAACAAGAAACGTGTTTAATATCTTAAAAAATAGCAATTGAATCTGCAAAAATGTGAATTATTTAATACTTAAAATATGTTAATCATGTCTAGATTTGAAAATGTGGCATCAATGTGAAGTAGTGCATTCAACCCTCTGTATCAAGAGACAACAGTGCTGCCTGCCTAAGACTGCAGAGAACAGAGACACAGCTGCTGCTCTCAGCACTCTCCCCGGCCCCCAGGAAGAAAGATTCCAATCACAGCATATTCATTTAAAAAGTATTCTAATAATAATTAGACTCATCAACTGCAAACTTTTTTTCCCCTTTAAACTATTCTCTAAATTTGGCCAAACTAAGTACTTGATACAAAAATCCTGGCAAAGAATAGGGGTCCCTGCAGAACTGTGTGGCAAACTCTCTGACATTCTCTTGCCTTGGCAGGTAAGTCAAAACAAGGACAATCTAAAAAGAGGTCATTCCCTCCTCCAATTAGCAATTCAAGGGTTAGAACTGAAATAATCGCAGTTAGGGCATAGGAAACAGATACATACATACTCAAACATACCCCCCCACCCCACCACGGCAATGCTCATAGCTGACAATGGCTGAATTTCATCACAAGCAAATGATCTGACATTTTTGTCATTAAAAAAAAAAAAAAATCAAGTAGAAGGCTGGGCACAGTGGCTCGTGCCTGGAATCTCAGCCCTTTGGGAGGCCAAGGTGGGTGGATGGATCATTTGAGGTCAGGAGTTCGAGACTTGCCTTCCCCCTACCCCCTCCAAAAAATCAAGTAGAATGCTCAAGTGAGGGTATTTCCCTTCAATGTAAGACAAAAATCAGCAGCCACAATTTAAAAATTTACTCCATAATGAAATCAGCATTAATTCTGAAACTAAGACACTGGGGAAACTACACTGGTTTGCTGCAGCAAGGACCGTGCCTACCCCAAGGAGTCAGCCAACTCCATGACAACCTGACTCCATTTTTAGTCTCCCAAACCTTTTTTTGTTTGAGAACCATGAGCTTGAGTTGCTGCTGAAAAATACTTGATTTTAACAATAAATTTAAGGTGTAAAGATTTTTTACTTTTCCTCTGAAAGATTAGTTGAAAAGGACACAAATGATTCACAATGAAGGTTTATGTTTGAGGTGATCACCACCAATACACATGGTTGAAAAGTACCATCATCATATATATATTTGCTTTAAAAAAAATTACGACAAGCTTCAGGTAAAAATAATTTTTAAAGGATCCATTTTTCATTTACATACAACCAATACATCTTATTTACACATAAATGACTAAATCTTTATTCTATTTTCTTCATATAAGGTATTTTAACTGGTAAGTAACTGTCCTATTCTGTTTTTATTTTTTAATTTTATTTATTTATTTATTTTTTTGAGACAGAGTTTCGCTCTTGACACCCAGGCTGGAGTGCAATGGCGCGATCTCGGCTCACCGCAACCTCCGCCTCCTGGGTTCAGGCAATTCTCCTGCCTCAGCCTCCTGAGTAGCTGGGATTACAGGCACGCGCCACCATGCCCAGCTAATTTTTTATAGTTTTAGTAGAGACGAGGTTTCACCATGTTGACCAGGATGGTCTCGATCTCTTGACCTCGTGATCCACCCGCCTCGGCCTCCCAAAGTCTATTCTGTTTTTTATAGAAAGACTAAATACCCTCTTATTCACAGGCAGTTTTGATGATGGTAGTTTGTCTCCAAATTACATATTGAATACAGTTAAAACCTTAATGAATAACATAAAAATTAAGATCCAGTATTAACAGCCTGTTTTATGGGTCACATTGGTTATTCAAGGAGTCAATTGCCTAGTATGCATAAATTACAGCTGCAACAAAACTGAAATCAAGTGTGCTTCTGAAGACCTTGAAAAAGAAGTCTGACTTCTATGACATTATCTACTGCTTAATACTGTTATTGATGGGAAATTCTTATATTGGGTTCATTTCTTTCCTTATAAAAACACTGATTTTTCTAGTGATATTTAACTTTAAAAAGGTATTTTACTTCTTTAACCCTCAGAGAACTAGTATATTTCTGTAACTAACCAAAAAAAGAAAAAAAAAAAAAAATCAGACATGTATCTTTGCCCATAGTTTCCAAAGGGTTAAAGTGCAGGAATTTTTCTATACTGTTATATAAGGCACTTATTCCACTTTTTTCTTAAAGGAAACTTTTTCTTTGGTTTCTTGTAACTTTTCAGTGAGTCTATCTTTTGTTTCTTCCATTTTCTCTGTGATAAGCTCCTTTGTCTCTTCCATCCTGTCCTGCAGATACTCCTTGACAGGTGGCGGTGTGGACATGTAGCCATGACTGCGCAGATACTTCACAGTGAAGGATGTTCCTCCCAAAGTCACGGTATACCGGGCAGGTGTTGCAATCTTAAGCAAAAAGCAAACAGAGGCAAATCAAAACCTGTTTATTACTGCCATCTTAAGCAAAGACAAGTTAAAATTAAAATTATTTGTAATAACCAATCAGCTAATCACAAAGCTAATGTAGTAACATCCTATATGGTTTTCCCTAACAAGAGACACTTCTGTAAACTCATTTTATGAACGTTTGTCCCCTACACAATCCTGACCCAGATAACAGAATCATAGCACTGATGTCCCTAATCAAAGGCTAGTAAACCTGTGGGGCAGATCAACCTGGAAATCAGAAAGAGGGCTCAGTATCATTAACAATAACAAAGAAGCACATGTTTCTATTCCTTAAAACCCCTGCCATCCTGCCAATGCTTTCTATCTGGAGCTGAACTAGAACTGAACATCTTCAAATGGGGAGAGGCAGAGCGTGAATCCACTCTCTGCTGGATTTAGGTTAGCTTCACTTCAAAATCCCGTCCTTTGACTTTTCCAGACTTATGCTACCTTCTCATCACAATCTACCCTGAGTCTCAGATCCTAGTTAGTCATTTACATGAGGCCAAAAGTGGTAAAATGGCACACCTGCCGCAGACATGCACAGGTTTAACGTTAATCAGAGCTTTGAGGACCAATACGAAATAGCAGATGACTAGTCAAAGAGAACCATGAAAGCAAAAAGACTGCATCACATTCTGAGTCAAAAATCAGGCAGGACACAGTGGCTCATGCCTGTAATCCCAGCACTTCGGGAGGCTGAGGTGGGTGGATCACCTGAGTTTAGGAATTCAAGACCAGCCTGGCCATGGTGAAATCCAGTCTCTACTAAAAATACAAAAATTAGCCAGCTGTGGTGATGGGCACCTGTAATCCCAGTTACTGTACTTGAGAGGCTGAAGCAGAAGAATCCCTTGAACCTGGGAGGCAAAGGCTGCAGTGAGCTGGATCGCGCCACTTGCTCCAGCCTGGGTGACGAGTGAAACTACACCTCAAAAAAAAAAAAAAAAAAAAATCATAGGCATTGGCAGGTACAATAGCTCACACCTATAATCCCAGCGCTTTGGGAGGCTGAGGCAGGAGGATTACTTGAGCTGAGACGTTCCAGACTAGTCTGGGCAATATAATGAGACCCTGCCATCTCTAATAAAAGAAAAGAAAAATTAGCTGGGAGTTGTGGCATGTGTCTGTAGTCCCAGCTACTTGGGGGCTGATGCAGGAAGACTGCTCAAGTCTGGGAGTTCAAGACTGCAGGGAGCCGTGATTGCACCATTGTACTCCAGCCTGGGAAACAGGGCAAGACCCATTCTCAAACAAAACCAAACCAAACCCATAGGTATGCTGTATAACAAAACTCTGAAAGAGCTGTCTGCTTTATCTCTAATTTCTCTCCTAAACTCACATTAAGCAAGCTTTTACTCCTACCTCTTCACCAAAACTGCTTTCAAAGTCACAGTGACCTCTACAAAACTAAATCCAGCTGTCAATTTGGAATCAGCTCCTGGACCAGTGGAACTGCCCGAGACAGCTTTCACTTGGCTCCAGGTCCTCAATTTGCTGGAGAGTTCCTTCTAGTTCATGGCAGCTTCTCATTTTTGCCAATTCCTCCCCATTCACCCACCTCTGAACATGGTGTGACAACAATGAATCCCCGGACCTCTTATTTTCTCCACCTATCTCACTCTCTTAGTTGTCTTTAGTGCCATCCACACATTGATGATTCTTAACTTTAATCTCCAGGCTGAACCTTTTCCCTGAATTCCAGTATCTACAACTACCTCCACTTGCGTGTCTAATAGGATCTCAAAACTTAATGCAGACATGAGTCACTTAATAGGGATACGTTCTGAGAAATGGGTCATTAGGTGATTTTGTTGTGTGAAACATCACAGAGCGTACTTGGACAAACCTAGATGGTGTAGTCTTCTGCACACTCAGGCTATAAGGTATAGCCTATTGCTCCTAGGCTACAAACCTGTACAGTACGCTACTGTGCCGGATACTGCAGGCAATTATAAGACTAGGGCATTTGTATACCTAACCTATCTAAAATATGGAAAAGGTATTGTAAAAATACGATATTTGTAAAACATGGGACCTATGGGACCATCACTGTCTATGCAGTCCATAGTCAGCCGAAATGTCAATGGGTGGCATGTTCAAAACTGACCCTCGATCTTCAACTGTCCTACTTCAAACCTGCTCCTCTCAAAGTCTTCCTCATCTCAGAAAATGGCAATTCAATTCCTCCAGTTGCTCAGGCCAAAAAATTACAAGAAAGCTTCAACTCCTCTTCCTTTTCCATAATTTACATCCAAATCATCAGAAAACCGCAGCAGCCATGACTTTAAAACATATCCAGAATCCAGCTACTTCCTGCTACCACTTGGGTTCTGGCCATTACTGCCTCTCACCTCAAATACTGTAAGTACCTCACACAAGGTCCCTTGGCTTTTCCCCTGGTCCTGCCATGGTCTGTTAATATAGCAGCCAAAGTAATTTTGATGGAACAGAGGCAGGATGCTTAAAATTGTCCAATGGCTTTCCATGTCCTCAGAGTGAAAGCTGAAGTCCTTGTAAGGGCCTATAAGACTGCCCTGATATGATGACAGGCCATTCTCTACCCTGTTCACCAACTCTAGCCACACCGGTTTCCCCACATCCCTGAAATTCTCCTGGAATCCTGAAGCCTCAGGACCTTGCCGTTGGAGTTTTCTGTTTGGAATGCTCCTCCCCCTTGAAGGAGCAACTCTCTCACCTTCTCAGCAAGGTATGCCATCTCCCATTGAAAAACAAATAAATACCACAAACACACCCCCGTCCCTGGCTTCCTTTCTTAGCACTTACCATCATCTACATACACATACTTTGTGTGCACACACGTTTTTAACTTTGTCTTGTCTCCCCACCCCACCACCATTCTCTATCAGCTACACAAGGCAGGTATTTTTCACTGTCTTCTTTGATTAGCTTATTCCCAGTACCTAGAATGGTACTTGGGCGTATTTCAAAGAGATTATGAGGTAGTGAGTGCATACATCCTGCAGCCAACTGCCACCAGACCATTCAGGCCATACTTCATTTTGGGGCTTTGTCTTGATGAAGCAGTAAGTCTGTGTTTGTTGTTCTATTTGAGAAACTGTGGGTTACAGATAATATACAGGAGAATCCCCTTCGTATCTCCTACACTACAGAGGAGTAGAGGGGGGAAAACACCACTGGCACTCATCTCCCTACCACGAAGCCTACAGCTTCATTTCCAACCCCAACTCTACAAACATTGTATTCACCTACAGAACACAATACCAGGCGCAGTGAAAAAACAAGAAAGAAGACATGATTCTGAATTCCTGGGAGCTCCTAATCAAATAAAGAAAACAAACAACACCTAGCACAGACTGTGCTATCAACTGTTATGCTATGGGAGTGGGATAAAAGCAATTAAATTAGGGGAGGTATACATTATCATGGTAGTTTGACTTATTTGAGTTAAAATTATACCTACCATAACTAGAAACTTGATAATTAATTTAATATACTTTAATGTAGAAAAACTCAACATTAACTGTTAGCCCTCTCATCAAAATTATAATAAAAGAGGAAATCTACCAAAATTTCAGAGGATGCTAATAAGGATGACAGAATAAAACAATGCTACTTTTGAGTAATGCAATAAAACTGTAATTCTTAGATATTCTTATAAAACAGAAGTAAAATAAAATAACATATAGTTTCTAAGCATTTTCAACTTTCTTAGGTAAAAGTTTCGTAGACCCTCATAAATATTGGTCAATTCAGAGAATGATATTAATATGGCTAAATTCCACAATTTACAGTGAAATCTTCCCTTCTAAAATAAAAACACACAGGCATAGAAGCTATCAAGATGATGTCTGAATCCAGAGAATATAAAGATTTCAACTTCTAAAATAAAACATATGTTGGGTTAAGATCTAACAAAAAACAGTTTATTATGTAAGACATAAGAAAATTTGGATTAAACCTATTTTACTTGCTAAGAAAAGATGAACTATTATAAACAGTAAAATAAATGCTAAATTTTGCTGACAAGTCAGGTGGCATGCAGATCACTGAATAAGGAAAAACAAATATAATTATGTCTTAAAATAATCCTATCGCCATTTATCAATAGGAGCAATGTCAAACAGATGACCCCTACCATGGAAAAACACAAAAGCCTACCAATTATCTGATCACAGCAAGTTATGAATGATCTACCAGTTTTTAAGACATTTCTTCCTAAAACCTAAAAAGTAAAACATTTTACTTCCACTTTAAAATTCTGTTATTTTACATTAGTCACCAGACACATCAGAGATGAAATACAATGTTTTAAGTTACAAAACAAGATTGGGAGCTAACATGGAGTCTCATAGGGAAGTGAGCAGGTCACTGGTGAGGTCTGAGGAGCAATGGGTTTATAAAAGTACCCACCTTAAACATGGCATATGCTGTCAGTGCATTTCCACTCTGGGAGTTTTTCAGGATGTTTACCACACTGTCAGGTAACCCAATGAATTCTAGAAAAGGAACGAGATTCACTCCTCTACGAAGAAAAAAAAAAGGTTATTTTCATATACATAAACTTAAAGCTATTTTCCAAACTTATCTGAAAATACCAAAACCACACTATAATTTTATTAATTACATTTTGCTTAAATGCTGATTGTGCATTATCAAGCCCTTTAGCTTCACCCTAAGAGAACATCTTACTTGATGTACAATATGCAACATGCACACACATATCACATCATGTGGTATCTTACTGCCTACTTCTATTTGCTTCTGCACGTGGGCAACCCAGTTAGTATGTTTAGAAAAATAGAAACATTTATTAGAGTAAAATTGACAGCTTTAAGTAAACTATGAGAAAGGATGAGAATCATTTGCCTGGTCTTAGTTTCCTCAACCTTAGATTGCTCCAACTCACATTTTAAGGCCTAAGATTTTTACCTTTAAAATTACATGTAATTTTGTGTAAAATTGCATTATAAACGTAAGAGGTATTTTAACATCACTTTTTATTATGAAAATGTGTTATTATGCAAAAAAATATATGACACTATGGGTTTGATGAAAGCTTCAATTACTCTTAAAGGATGCTTCCATTCTATTAACAGACAAGGCAGGTGAAGAAGCAATTACTATACATTATGACAAATTTCTGGAGGGAGGAGAGGCAGAGAAGTCTCCAACCTGAGCCACGACTTATTTCCAGTTTCCTGATTATCAACGTTCCCCATCCCTAGCTTCTTTATTTCCGGTTTCCTGATTATCAACGTTCCCCATCCCTGGCTTCTTTATTTCCAGTTTCCCGATTATCAACATTTCCCATCCCTGGCTTCTTTATTTTCAGTTTCCCGATTATCAACATTCCACATCCCTGGCTTCTTTATTTCCAGTTTTCGGATTATTGACATTCCTGAGTCACAACCTCTTTATTTCCAGTTTCCTATTATTAACATTTTGCCACAATGGCTGTTGCTCTCATGGACATTGTAACTCTTTACCCCTAAATCAGAAGGAGGACATTCACCTACATAAATGCAACATTTATAACATACATCTAGATTACAGTTTCCTAGATTGTCCCAGTGTTTCCCTTATGGCTATTTTTCCTGCCTCTCTAGTCTCCTTTTCTCTAGAAGTGCTTCTCAGCACTCTATGGTGGAGGAGGGCAGGTAGTCTTTCTTGACATTGAGATTTGTGAAGCATCCAGACCCGCTGCTTGGTAGAACATCTCTCAGCTTGAGTTTGTCTGATTGTTTCCTCAAGATGAGATTCAGGTTAAGTATTTTCCCACAGGAAAGTGACAGAGTGGATACTGTCCATCTAGCACATCACAACAGGGGGCACATAAGGCCAGTCTGTCCTATCCTTGGTATTACAGAGTTTGCCTCTTGGTGAAGGCAAGGATCCATAAGAGACCTTCACTGTAAAAGCAGCTTTTCTTATGTCATTAAGAAAGAGCATTGCCTGGATCCATTCTGTAAACTCTTTATTTTTAATATTAACTAGGGAAAAGATGTCCCAGTCTGTGACTTCACCATTATACTACACAGTCAGGGAGCAACCTTAACAGATATGGCTGATCATCCTCAATAAAGGACTATTAAAATTACTTATCATCAGAAGTCAGAGGAAACCAGAACAACTTAAGGAAACTTTAAAGAGATAAATTAAAAAATAAACTATGAGTCCAATCTCATTTCTATCTTCATTCTTTCTTCTATCTCCAGTTTCAATTATTTTTCAAATCTCTTTCTAGATAGCAACTAAATCTCATTAAAAAAAGGTTTAACAGCATAGCCATTACTCAATGAATTTAATCAAGCCACTAAAATAACTATGCATGGTAACATCCTGCCATAACATGCTAATTATGTCTTCTAGTACCAATCCAATTACGAAATTATTCCATTATTTCCTAATTCCAATTAAGCCCAGTATATTAAATCTATATATTTAGCAGCAATCATGAAGGAAAAAAAAAACATTTGGCCAAATATGAAAGTGAGTTATTAAAACCACCATCACCACCATTTATCACAAAGATCAGATAACAATGCTTTGGGAGGTGAAATGGGTATACCGCTTAAGCCCTGGAGTTCCAGACTAGCCTGGGCAACACAGCAAGACCTTGTCTCTATAAAAAATTAAAAATAAAAGGTCATACAACAATGGACTGAGACATCAAGCACAAGCTGTGTCATCGCTGGCATGCATCTTTTGTCAGATGAAGCAAGCATCTAGTTCCACTTATTTCTAAACTGTTGAATTGATGACTTTTCTTAAAAATAACTTCCATTTCCTCTGGAATTACTGAATGTGAAGTACTAATGAGGGTCTGATTCAAACAAACATCCACTGTTTGTCACGTTCTACTTTGAAGTGCCCACGGTCAGCCAAGAATCTGTGCTTCAAAAATTGCCAGCTTTACAACTGTTTCCACAGATGAAGAAACACACAAAGGAAAAGCATATTCACCGTCTGGATAAAGTACAGTAGAAATCAATCAGGGGTTTGCCTCAGAGTGAGTTTGTAATTTTAGGAACTTGAGGTCTCAAACACAAGGCATCTAAATGCATGGACCACACCATCATTGGTGAGTCACATTTGATCAAACAAAGCACTTCTAGACCGAAGACATCAGATCTCTGCAAGGCTTTGCCAGATAGGAACAGCAACGAAGCTTGGTTTAAAATAAAATCTATTAGCACGCACAATTTAGAACTCCCTGAAATAAAGTATTTCAAAAGCCCAAGAACTTCATCACTGTGTTAACTAAATATAGAATGACATTTTGCTCTAGGGTGTCTAGAAAGGTAGTAATGCGAGCTGTCAGAGTAACTAAGACAAACACTGGTCAGTAATGCAGCATGATGTCAAATGCTCATCTTTCCAGCTACAAACTATTTTTCTCCCTTTCTTTTAATAGTAAGTAGGCAACAAACAAATAACACAGAACTTTTTCCACCTAAAACAAACAACACTAAAATACAGACTCTTGTCAGGTGAATTGAAAATCTGTATTTAGTATAATCAACTTCCAGTTTTACAATACAATCATCCTACAGTGAAAATATTCTAATTCCTTTTTCCTTCATTCATGAGTTCGGCTTTCTTAAGCATTACTTGTGATTAAGACCTTCGTTTAGGAACAAATCAACTTTCAATTTTTGAAGGATCTAATGAAAACTTTAAGAAGGACTGTTCTGGAAAGCAACCCATCCTGCCCATTATAAATTCGCTATGTGATGCTATCACAGAATTGACCCAGTGGTTGTGGAGGGCAGTAGTGGTGCTCTGGCAACCAGATTCCCATGCCAACAGCCCCAAAGCAAGGTGTAATGAGGAAGGGTATAATTTTAAAGTTGATAGCTAGCTGTACCACGATGTTTACATATAAGCATTCTGAAAAAAAAAAAAAAAAAAAGAAGGGGGAAGATAAAACTAAGAAAGTTGCATTTCACAGGGGCTGACACAATATCACCCACAATTGCTTTAGCTACCACACAGCATTATTATGGGTCTACTTTTTTAGTTGCAGAACTTTTACCAAAGAGAATAAGAAAAAGTAAAAGGAACAAAAGTATTCTTCTTAATAGCCTAAATGAGAATCTCATATTCAATTAATTAAAAGCTTGAATTTCTCCCTTTAAGGCCAGCCAGGAGGCTGAATGCCTTGCCTTATGGGCAACCTGACAAGGGCAAAGGAAACAAGTATTTTTCATGTCATCTTTCACAGACTGAATCATAAGAATCCTCCATGGCTCAAAAAAGAAAATTTAATATGTGGAAATCTATTCATTACAAAGCAGAACTGAATGCCTACAATAACTTTTGATCAAAATGGTAACTTTATGTTCTGTTAAAAAACTAACAGCAGTTTTAAAGATTTCTATAAATATTAAATATGTCCAAAAATGTCATTAATAAACAAAGAAACAATTCCATAAAATATATACATAAGACTCTTCTGCAAGGAAAGATACAATTCTTAAAGAAAATGATATGCAATGAAGAAGGATATAATTGAATAACAGGAATGTAAATGTCAAGATATAAAGTGAAACAGAACAGCATCAATTACACAAGGTGAAAAAAAAATTCTTTTAGAAATTTTGTCTAGAAATCTACGTGATCCTGTTTCCCCAAAATAAGTAGTTTCTATCCCACCTTCTTGGAAGAGGTATAACTTAGTCTGCAACAGGGTGCTTCTAAGGAGTGAGCTTTATGTACAACACTAACCGTATTTTGTTAATGTCTCAATGTCAGGCTGTTAAATATAATCAAGCACTGAAAATCGCCCAACTCTGGAAACTATAAAATAATTCTCAATCCATCAGGCGAGTACTGAACTGTCTAAGTCCTTCATGCACACCGGGACACTGAGGAATGGGCACTTGGCCGACTAGTGGCAGAAATGGGAAATCAGCAGTCCTGCGCCTAAAGCAGTATGAAGCAAATAACTTACCTTAAGGGAAAGGCACAGTATTAACAAGGGAGATGCATTTAAATTTGTATGTTTCACTTCTGATAAGAACAAAAGACCTTCCTCTGACACTTACTGGACTTGCATAATATCAATGCAAACAGATTAGTAGCCAAGCTTTAGCACAATATTCTGAATCTCCCACCAAAACCATACAAATGCAAAATAGGTATCTTTTCACATTTATGAACATTCTAAGAAATATATAATTGTGGAGTCATGCTGCCGCCATTTCTGAAATTTGATCATTTTATGTCTGTGGTCTCCTGAATGCCAGGATGAAATCTGCATACAGGAGTGTGTGCTTTGAGATAACACACACCTAACTGCGTTTTTAGTCCAGGCACCACCTCTTACCCGCTGAGTTATTTTGGGAAAAGCTGAACTATTTTTACTTCTCCTTGTCTAATCTGTTTTCTCATTCATAAAATGGGTGTAATTGTGTAACTTGCTTTATATGGTTGCTGGGAAGATTAGACAACAGTTAAAAATTTCTCCAGATGCGTGCTCCAAACAGTAAGCAAATGTTAGCTATTATTATTAAAATGTGAAAAAAGCAATGAAAAGTAGTTATCCTCCATTGATGAAAAACATTAAAGCATTTAAAAATCTTTAAATCTAAGGCTATCTGGGCTGGGCACAGGGACTCATGCCTGTAATCCCAGCACTTTGGGAGGCAGAGGCAGGCTGATCACCTGAGGTCGGGAGTTCAAGACCAGCTTGACCAACATGGAGAAACCCCCTCTCTACTAAAAATACAAAAAATTAGCCAGGTATGGTGATGCATGCCTATAATCCCAGCAGCTCGGGAGGCTGAGGCAGGAGGATTGCTTGAACCTGGGAGGCGGTGGTTTTGGTGAGCCGAGATCATGCCATAGCACTCCAGCCTGGGCAACAAGAGCAAAACTCTGTCTAAAAAGAAAAAAAAAAAAAAACTAAAGCTATCATTAGTACAATTTAAAAGATAGGGAAAGGCATTCAACTAAGCAAAAACTTACTTCAAGGCTGCATAATAAAATGTTCCAAACCAAACACCAGAAGTTATTAGATGCACCGGAATCAAAACTTTTCCATACTGTCTAAATGTTTTCTTGAATCGTTGATAAAGACTAATAGATTTGTCTTGTAAAGGATCAGGCTCTTCCTTTTTTTCCGGAGTTCCATGCGCTGTGCCACGGGATGAAAAATCCCTCCTGGATGAAACACACTGCTTCCCTTGGTTATGGTGAAGGACTCGTGGTTGGGGTGGATGAGCATCCAATGGCCTCCTTTCCTTTGCAACACACTGGGCAGCAGATAAATGCAACCATTGTTTTTGAGGACCTTGCACCAAAACCACTTTGGATTCAGCATTGCACAAAAGTAAAGGTCTCTTTACATTTTGACAGAGTCCAAAAAGACCAGCTTTATGTAGTTCCAAGCATGTCCTGCGTGCCAGTTGAGATACAATCCGTGGCACATTCCATTGCATTTTGAAGAGTGTTGATAGGTTTCAGCTTCTACAAAGACAAATTTTTAAAAAAATTAGATAATACTTAGGTTTCCATTTTAAATCAATTCATTTGAAAATCAATCATTTTTAGGAAGTAAAAAGACAGACATTGCTACATAATCCACAGAAATTGATATTAGGGTATACAGTTTAAGCACAGTGTAATTTTAAAATCTCATAAAGGCCAGGCACGGTGGTTCACAACTGTAATCCCAGCCTTTTGGGAGGCCAAGGCGGTTGAATCATCTGAGGTCAGGAGTTCAAGACCAGCCTGGCTAACATGGCGAAACCCCATCTCCACTAAAAATACGAAAATTAGCCAGGCATGGTGGTGGGTGAGGTTGAGGCAGAAGAACTACTTGAACCCGGGAAGCAGAGGTTGCAGTGATCTGATATCGTGCCACTGTCCTCCAACCTGGGTAACAAAGCAAGACTTCATCTCAGAAAAATTAATGAAATAAATATGTCAGGTGCAGTGGCTCACACCTGTAGTCCCAGTACTTTGGGAGTCTGAGGCAGGCAGATCACTCGAGGTCAGGAGTTCGAGATCAGCCTGGCCAACATAGCAAAACCCTGTCTCTACTACAAATACAAAAATTGGCCAGGCACAGTGGCATGTGCCTGTACTCCCAGCTACTCAGGAGGCTGAGGCATGAGAATCGCTTGAACCCAGTAGGTGGAGGTTGCAGTGAGCTGAGATTGTGCCACTGCACTCCAGCCTGGGTGACAGAGTGAGATGCCATCAAGGGTGACAGAGAGAGATGCCATCAAGGAAAGGAAAGGAAAGGGGAACGGGGAACGAACAGGCGACAGAATGACGGAGCGACATGCCAGCAAGGGGAGGGAGAGGGGAAGAAAGGGGAGGAGAAAGGGAAAAGGAAGGAAAGGAAAAGATTGTTTCCTGTTATCTGTGTTAGAAAAAGGAAAAAATTAAAAAAAAGGACAGAAAAGAGAAAATAAAATCTCATGAAACACACCATCTAAATTTGATATGGTAAACTAGTCCAGCATGGGGAATGTTTTGAGGCCTCTTATTCTATAAAGAAGTAGTGTAGTATAGTGGGTGAAAAAATAAGATCTGGGATCTGATGCTTTGGGGACATAATTCCACATAATTCCCTTTCAGACTCCAAGCCCAGGTCCACTAGTAAAATGAAGATTACTTCACAGGATTGTTACCAGAAATTACACAAAATTTCTGATGTAAAGATGCTTCTGTAAACTAATGAGCATCGTGTTGGTTATGAAAATGTTAAGATCTGATGAATAGTTGATATTACTATTTATACTATAATGCCTTTGGACTAAGTTATCAAGTTATAAATCACTTATGTTATTGAATGGTGAGAAGAGAGAGTCTGGTACTTATCTTCTTTTTCCCTCCATATTAATAGTGGAGAGAAAAAAAAAAGTATACAGTGATGTCTCACTATCTGATCTGGCATCAGCATAGAACAAAGATTTACAAGACAGCCAGGCACAGTGGCTTGGGCTTGTGGCTTCAGCTACTCGGGACGCTCACATGGGAGGACACTTGAGGCTACAGTGCACCTGTGAACAGCTACTCCATTCCAGCCTGACCATACAGCAAAACTGTAAGTCTTTTTTTTTTTTTTTTAAAGAAAAAAAAGAACTATAGAGACTTTTCCAGATAATTACTTAGCCTCTCTAGACAAATGTTTTCCCAGTGGTAAATGTGATTATAGTAGCCATTCCCATATAGTCGATCAGTCCCCTTTTTTCAACATCGGGTGGTGCCACATGCCTCCCCACTCCCAGTGTCAGCTCTACCTTACTACTTCTAACATGTTGAGAATAGACAATCTTATTTAATTGTACACTAAATAAGGGTCAGTGAGATCTGAATTAGCGCCCCAATAAATTAGCACTCCAATAAATACAGATACTCCATCTTACATGAATATTCTTTATCTGGTACGCAAAGTTGACTGGTGAAACAAAAACTGCCATCATATAAAAACATTCATTAGTGAATTATTCACCTATAAAAATTAATCCCCTGACTCATCACCCTTCCTAATCAATAATTAACATCACTCCTAACAGACTCTCACAGATAATCCAACAACACGGTACAAATGAGTTGCTAAGTGAAACTGCAAATCTTGCAAAAAATAAATAGGCTCCCAAGATGTCTTTTAAAAAGTGATATTGGGGCCGTGTGTGGTGGCTCACACCTGTATCCCAGCACTTTGGGAGGCTAAGGTAGGCAAATCACGAGACAAGAGATTGAGACGAGGTGGCCAACATGGTGAAACCCCGTCTTTACTAAAAATACAAAAATTAGCCAGGCGTGGTGGCACATAATTATAATTCCAGCTACTTGGGAGGCTAAGGCAGGAAAATCTCTTGAACCTCAGAGGAAGAGGTTGCAGTGAGCTGAGATCGCACCACTGTTCTTCAGCCTGGGCGAAGGAGTAAGACTCGTCTCAAAAAAAAAAAAAAAAAAAGTGATATTGGAGATTAATTTCAGACAAAGCAGACTGCAGACTGCAAACATTCTTTTTTTTTTTTTTTTTTTGAGACGGAGTTTCACTCTTGTTACCCAGGCTGGAGTGCAATGGCCGCGATCTCGGCTCACCGCAACCTCCGCCTCCTGGGTTCAGGCAATTCTCCTGCCTCAGCCTCCTGAGTAGCTGGGATTACAGGCACGCGCCACCATGCCCAGCTAATTTTTTGTATTTTTAGTAGAGACGGGGTTTCACCGTGTTGACCAGGATGGTCTCGATCTCTTGACCTCGTGATCCACCCGCCTTGGCCTCCCAAAGTGCTGGGATTACAGGCTTGAGCCACCGCGCCCAGCCTGCAAACATTCTTTCATTGTTAAAGAGGGGCATTTTATAACAATGATAATGAAGACATAACAATCTTAAAAATGTATATACCTAACAAGAGAAGATCAAAATAAATGAGGTGAAAATTGACAGAACAGAAAGGAGAAAAGAAGTTCACTTAGAGACGTCAATACTCCAGTCAGCCACCTTGATAAGTCCAGCAGGCAGAATGTCAGTAAGGATATAGTTAAACTAAACAACAATGTTAACCAATTTGATCGAATTGACATTTACAGAATATTCCATTCAACATCAGCAGAATACACATTCCACTCAAGTTCACATGGAACATTCAACAAGCAGACCCCATGGTGGGCCATTAAATATACTATAACAAATTGCAAAAAATGAAAATTATGCAAGGTTATGTTCTCAAATTACTATAGAAGTAAACTAGAAATCATTAACATAAAGAGAGCTGGTAACTTCCACCCGCCCTCCAATTATGTGGAAATTAAACAGCACACTTCTCAAAAAAAAAAAAAAAAATCTTCAAATGTCTAAAAATAAATTTAAAAATATTTTGAAGTAATTGAAAAAAATACAGCTTAACAAAATCTGTGCAATGCGGCAAAGCAGTGCTTTGAGGACTAAACTTTGTCCTTTTTCCTTTTACCCAAATTCCCATCTAAGGTATCTGGGGAGTCACACCCTATAAACCATGAAATTTCATCAGAGGGGTTTTATTTAACCCTATATAAATGGCTACTTTCCAACTTGTCTCTGGCATAACATCACATTACAGATAAAGAAGGAAATCAAAATATTTTACCCCAAAATATGTTTGTCATATTTTGAAATGATCCGGCAAAGCCATTTTCTTGGTGGAGAAAAACTGAATTTTTAAAGACTCTATTAACATAACCAGATCCCTGCCTCCAGTTCCTCACAATCCTGAAGTGATTAACTGAGTCTAGCACCTTTTAAAAGGTCCAAATAGGAAACATTTGCAATCTAACATCTCTAAGGGCGGCCATCTTTGAGACTTGATCTATGTATTAAGAACCTTGGTATCCACAACCCTTTATCTTAATCCAGATGCTCTTTTCCATTGATTTCAGGTCTTTATATAGTAACTCTTCCAACCAATTGCCAACCAGAAAATCTTTTAATCCAGTTATGACCCATAAACCCCCACTTTGAATTGTCCTGGCTTTTCAGACCAAACCAATGTATACCCTTCATAATACCGACTGATGTCTTATGTCTCCCCAAAACGTTTAAAGCCAAGCTGTAACCCAACCACCTTAGGCATATGTTCTCAGAACTTCTTGAGACTGCCTTGCACCTTGGTCACTCATATCTGGTTCAAAATAAACCTCTTTAAACATTTCAGAGTTTTAATCTTTCATCAAAAGCTCACAGGAAGAATGCACATTATTAGAAAAGAAGATCTAAACTCAATAAGCTACCTCCTCAAGAAAATAGAGGAACGAAGCAAGCAGAAAGAAACAATAAAGATCAGAGCAGAACGCAAACAAGAGAAAAGGGAAACAAAAAATATCAACAAAACCAAAACCTAGCTCTTTTGGGGAAAAAAATCAGTAAAACTGATATATCTCTAGCCAGGATAACTGAGAGAGAAAACAAATGACCAATATTAGAAATAACTACTGATCCCACAGACGATAAAAAAAAAAAAGGAATATCATGAATAATTTTAACTCTAAGCTTGTGAGCAAAGAAATGATCTTATCTGAGGAATATGAGTTTTTATAATTATCAGGACCAAAGAGACATTAAAATGAGACTGAAATCACACCTTACTTACCTCTCCTCACCAGCCCACTTCCTCTCAACTGTGCATTCACCTCTTGAAACTGTTATTGCCATAAATAGCTATGAATTAACCTGATAATGCTATAATTCACAATCTATAGCTTAACAATGTATAGCCAATAACTAATCAATGCTACTTCTGTAAAACAGTGAGAATTCCTGGCAAACAACTCTATTAGTTCATTTCTCTTCCCCAATATTTTGTCTTTAAAAATCCACTTGTAACTGCTGCTAGTAAGTATGTATATTCAGGGCAACTTAAATCTATGCTCCTGGGTTGCAATCCTCAGGCTTTGCCCAAATAAACTCTACTTACAATCATTTTGCTTCAGTTTGTTTCAAGGTGACATACACAAATTTGATGACTTAG